CAGCAAGTTTTACTCCAGTTGCAGCTGTCTCCCTGCCACTGGCACCAGTCTCCCCGGAGGCCCCGGCCGTCTGGAGTGACGGCCAGGATTCCCTTCAGGGGATGGCCGGTGCGAGTAGCACCGGCCAGTTGCGGTCCGGCTGCCCAAGAAATGGCCAGGAAGAAGCCAACCATGAGAACCACGAGACTCTTCTCCATCTTAACTTGAAACTGTGTGTGCATATCAGTGGAAAGAGAAGCCCTTTTTTTTTATAGGGGGGGAGAATTGGGTCGTGGCATGCATGCAGTTTTGGGGGAAGATAGTTTGTGCCACACAATGCCTTATTCATGATTTTTCATTTAATAGGAGTGTAATTGCTGCACTTAAGGCTATCTATCATTTCCCACCTACCATCCCAAAAGAAAAGTTCAAACACTACTACGAAAAAGACAAAAAAATCGTCTCAATTGCATCGCTTATATAAATAACTGATGCAAAAGAGCAAAGACATCCGTTGTTTTTTAAAAGCGGTGCAATTGATTGTTATTAAATAAAATTTAGAAAATAAAAATAAGTATTAGCATCGGTTATTTCACAATAACCAATGCAATAGATCAATGGCATCGGTTCTTTAAAACAACCGAAGCCAATTTCATTTTTTTCATTTTTCGAGGTCGGCCCTGAATCTACCTATCAAATCCTACTTTTATCCATCACATCAAAGATTTTTTTGGAAATTCAATACCAAAATACACTTCCCTTAAATCTTTTAAAAATCAATAACTCTCATGTTTTTAGGACCGGAGGAAGTATTATATATTGGCATAGTTGGCTCTTCTTGCTGGACTGAGTTGATCACGGTCTGGCCAACAACATCGAAGACCATGTCTACAAAATATTCTCTACCTATCACATCATATCTTTTTACTAATAATCTACCCATGGGTGGCCCGGAGGGTGTGCAAAGTGGCCAACCGCACAGGGCCCCAAAAATTTTAGAGCACCATATTTTTAAATTTATCATTAATTTTGAAGCATAAGTATTTTAAATTAATAAAATAGGACGCAAAATGTAAATTTTGGATCAGGCCAATTTCATTTTTTCATTTTTCGAGGCCGGCCTTGAATCTACCCATCAAATCCTACTTTTATCCATTACATCAAAGAATTTTTTTGGAAATTCATCAATACCAAAATACACTTCCCTTAAATATCTTAAAAATCAATAACTCCCATGTTTTAAGGGCCGGAGGTGTTAGAGTCTCATCCCACATCGTAAGTTCAAGAGCAAAATAATCGATATATAAGCTCTTGAGTTAAACTAACTAATCGACTCGATTCAATCTTTTAATGTGGTTCCACCAATCCACCCAAGTGTCTTATTACCCAACTCAGTTGTTTATACCCCATCTTAAATTTTATCATGGTTATCAGAGCAGGTTTTGGCCCACCTCATTGTCAAGGTGTCCGTCTAGACGTTCATTCCTAGCGGCCCGTTAGTCTTTAGCCTAGTTGTCCGTCTGGAGTATGTACCCAACGGCTTGTGGCCTGTTTAACACGATTGCTCGTCTGGAAGTCCATACCTAATGGCTCGTGGTTCTTTAGGTGTGAGCGCTAAAAAAAGTCAAGGGAATGAGAGTTCATTTGCAAGTGGTCCTCCGGTTAGATTCAAAATGCCCCAGTTGTCCACTTGAGGGGGAGTGTTAGAGTCTCATCTCACATCGGAAGTTCAAGAGCAAAATAATCGGTGTATAAGCTCTTGAGTTAAACTAACTAATCGATTGGATTCAAGCTTTTAATGCGGTTCAGCTCATGTGTCTTATTGCCCAATCTAGTTGTTCACACTCATCCTAAATTTTATCAGGAGGGAGTATTATATATTGGCATAGTTGGCTCTTCTTCCTGGACTAAGTTGATCACGGTCTGGCCCACAACATCGAAGACCATGTCTACAAAATATTCTCTACCTGCAAGATCTGATACGTCTGAGGCTTCGGCCTGACGAGAGACTTTCCGTCGTTGGGGAGGTACGTAGTCGCCATGCCTCTCACCGTGACATAGAAGCAGGTTTTAGTCCTAATTATGTACTTCGGCATACCACATTTTGTATATTACAACAAAATAATACTACCTTCGTCTCAGTGTATTTGTCCAGTTTGACTTTTTCGAGTCAAATTGGACAAACTTTGAACTCCAATTACTCTCAATTTATATTGCATATTATCATAATGAAATACAATTTTAAAAGTTCTGAATACGATAAATCAAATAAAGGCATTTTTATGTTAAAATAAATTACGCTTTTATTTAATTGAAGCTCAAAGTTTGTCCAGTTTGACTCGAAAAAGTCGAACTGGTCAAATACACTGGGACGGAGGGAGTAATTAAGACCATAATAATTTCATTGGTTAGAAATTTTTCATTCAACGGATAGTGGTCAATGGAAAATAAAGTATACTCCGGTATGTTTTATAAAAATACTTGAAGGATGTAGGGCATACTCATATTAAATGTATGTACTCCCTCCGATAGTAAAAATATGAGAATTATTGATTTTTAAGAGATTTAAGGGTAGTGTATTTTGATATTAAATTTCTAAAAAAGTCCGTTGATATGATATGTAAAAGTAAGATTTGATTAGTAGATTATTAGTAAAAAAGTATTCCCTCCGTTTGAAAAAAGCCTTCCCACTTTAACTATAAGGCAAAATAAGGAAGTGTAAAATTATAGTTGACTTTCAATTTTGCCCCTGATGTGATGGGTAAAAATAAGATGTGACGGATTTATTATTAGAGAAAAAGTATGATGTGATAGGTATGGTATGAAAAATTAAGGGTAAAAGTAGTTTTTTAATAGAAAGGGGAAGTATTTTGTTGGAAGTGAAAAAAATGAAAGAGGAAGTATTTTTGAGAACGGAGGGAGTATGATGTGATAAATAACGTATGAAAAAGTAAGGGGTAAAAGTGACTTTTAATAGAAACGAGAAGTGCTTTTTTCATCCGTCCTAAAAGTACTTCTCATTCCTATTAAAAAGTCACTTTTGCCTCTTACTTTTCCTACTCTACCTATCACATTATACCTTTTTACTAATAATCTATCCATCAAATCATACTTTTACTCATCACATCAAAGGACATTTTTGGAAATTCAATACCAAAATACATTTCCCTTAAATCCTCCTTCAAAATCAAAACTCCCATGTTTTCGGGACGGAGGGAGTAGTGTTTAAGATTTTAATAATCACAGTTAGAAGCCTATAAATAGCTAGCCTGAAAATATAGTCAAACATTAAGTACAGATTCAGTTCCATAAATATTAAGGCATTCATCGAGAAAAATACTCACAATAGCACAAACAATAAAAAAAATTAATTCAATTGAACCTAAAATACTCACAATCAATTTCACAAAAATTGACAATCAATTGAAATTATATAAAAGTAAAGAAATAAACCTTGAATTTTCAAAGATGTTTTCTCGCTGCTGGTCGGCTCTGTTGAGGATGGAAATATATAGTGGGGGCGGCGTGTGGTGGACGACGGCCGCTGCTAGTACAATTCGAGGCGGCGGGCGGCGGGCGGTAGGCGTGTGCAACGACAGAAAGTTGTGCGGCGAAGGAAACTTGCTCCTTGAAAACCCATGAATTTGAGTGAGTGGATTCACATTTTGTGCACAAAAAGAAAATATTGATATTTTAATAGCAATAAATTTAAAACTTAAAGGTAAAAAAGTATCAATAAATAACATTCTGAGATTAATATTGTGAGTTGTATGCAATATTTTTGAAATACTGTATAAAAAATATAATATTGATATTTGTATAGCAATAAATTTAAAACTTTAAAGGTAAAAAAGTATCAATAAATAACATTCCGAGATTAACATTGTGAGTTGTATGCAATATTTTTGAAATACTGTATAAAAAATATAATATTGATATTTGTATAGCAATAAATTAAAACCTTAAGGGTAAAAAAGTATCAATAAATAACATTCTGAGATTAATATTGTGAGTTGTATGCAATATTTTTGAAATACTGTATAAAAAAATATAATACGCTCATTGTTTTAACCAAAAAAGAAAAAACTAAACAAAAGTACTAATTCTAGACATTTCTTCAAATACTAAGTTTTAAATAAACATAGACGTTCAAATTAAATAAAAATGATAATAGATATTGGTACAAAAAAAAGTTTTATTAGATTATTATATCAAATATTTTCAAAATATTATTTTATATAATTAATATACAATATATATTTTATTTAATTAAAGGTCAAAGTTTGAAAGCAATTGACCAAAAAAAGTCAAAACTGGACAAATACTCAGGGACGGAGGTAGTATATTTTAAAAATCTTTTTAAAATAATTAAACTTGTTCATACATTTCAAAAAAAAATGAATATTTTATAATTAAGTTTCATAATGAAAATTAAATTAGTTTTCCAAATCTAAAAAAATTAAAACATAAAATTCTACACAACTATACAATGTGTCCTCTAATCCATTTTCAAAAAATAGATCCTAATCACATATAAATATACTCTCCTTGGATACGCTTAGTCTACATATAATACCTAATTACATACTACTACTAATAAATAATTTTTTTGGAGTGGGTGCAAGTGACCCCACTTGCACCACCCTAGGTCCGCCCCTGCCTTGAACGACGAGGTGGCACGGGGTTGAGGTAGGGATGGTCGGCGAATTGGGAGGTGAAGGGCGTTGGAGGAACGGCGGAGAGGACGAGCCGGCATTTAGGGATAGGAGAACGAGACTGTGGATGTGTGCGGCGGAGAGGATTTTTTGTGGATGTGTGGAGATCTGTGAATCAAGAAAAGGGATAATAAAATTTTTAAGTTACGATCGGCGACAGAATACTTTCCGCAGCAGGGTCCGTCGCAGATGTGCGATGCACACAGCGAACCGTAGCATAATTTAAGGGTGCAAATAACATTTTTTTAGCGCGTCATATTTGCGACGGCTTTTTCAGTCCTTCGTAAATTTGTGACGGAAAAACTTCGCCCGTCGCAGAATGTTTTCGGGTTTTCAACATTCATACACCCGTCGCAAAGTCGTTGCAGATTTGCAACAAAAGAGTGTCCATGACAGATTCCCGTCGCAGAACTGGTATTTTCTTGTAGTGATAATAGGCCCTCAGTGAAAGAGAGAGGAAGGTAGTGTGTGTTAGGGTGGTTAGGGAACTATATAGTGTGGGTGATTGTGTGATGGAATTAGAATACTTTTGGGCTAAGATGGGAGAGAATCTTGTGATTTGAGGGAATGTTTGTAAGATTGAAATAAAATTTTTATTCTAGAAGAAATAGTTT